TTAATTGATCAATTTTTTATTCTTTGAAATTCATGTTTGCAGATGAAGAAAAAAGAAGAAAGATAGAACGTGCAAGAAGAAAAAGAAGAGAGAAAGAAGAAAGAGAAAAGAGAATGACAACAGTGAAGTAGGAGAGAGAAAAAAAGAAAAAAAAATAGGATAAGAGAGATTGTTTGTAACTTCCATCTTACTAATTGTTTTATAATTTTTTTAAAGTTTGCCTAACTGTGTCCAATTTGGGATTATATTTGGAATTGTGGATGAATGAAGATTCTTGCGTAATCCCTTTCTTTAAAGGGGTAGTTATAAAATTTTCCCGGTCATTTGGTATCACTAACCTTTGACTAAATATTTGTCAACACACCGTTAAAAGTTAAAACTCACAAAATAATGTGAAAATATCTAAATAGAAATTATTATACCTGATAACAAATGTCTACATAACCACCACAATTAGCCGCTTGCTGGAGTTTTTGATTCGGTTTCTCGGATTAGGTTTCTTTCCCTTGTGCGGACGTCTCTAGGTGTCGAGCCATGGATTGCTGCGGATTGTCTGCCGGCGAGAGGAAGGTCTTATTCTAGTATTGTAGTATTGTAGTGGTTGTGTTTTGTAGTGTTTTGGGTTGCCTTGTTGGCATTTTGTTTTATTCTTCTGAGTAGAAGCTCGATTCTCCCATATGGATTTGTTTCGATTATCCCGTATGGGACTGTTTAGTTTGTATGTTTGTAAGTGCGTTAATGTAGATTTCTAGGCTACCATTTGTGTATGCCTCCCTTAGATTTGGGCATGTGGTAACCGAGTTACCCGACTCGGGTCATTCTCAAAGGATTGTTGTTAGGAGCTTCATTCACTACCTAGTCGTCAAAGTCACATAACCGAAAACAAGGTCCTACACATTCTACTCACTTGATGGGGATTGATTTCACATGAAATTAAACTAACAATCTAGAGCAATTGAAAGCAAATGATGCAAGATGAAAACTTTAGGTCAATCGGAGTCTCTATCACTCAAATAGACACGACGAACCAAGCAACATCATAGTAGCCATGTGATCCTAGGTGATTAAATCGAGCTTTCTAACTAATGACTACGCTTAAAACTAAGTCGTGCCCTTTACACAAGATAAGCATGAACTAATCCCTAACACACCATGAAGAGCAACAAAAATCAAACATTCCTCCATTCAACAAGCAAAACCAAATTCACCTTGAAACACATCATAAGCAAAAACGGGCAAAATTGAAGTAATGAGAATTAAAGCTAATTACCCACTCTCCTAATGCATGCGTGAAGAACACCGGATGGAAAAGTTCGAATCTTGAAGTACAATGATGTTGCCGGAAACTTGCCGAAAAATACGAGTAATAAAGCTCATAACCAAAGCATAAAAAGAAAATAGAGAAAATGGAAAGGATTTCCCAGCTTAAAAGTTGGGAAATGAGGGTTATTCTAAAAAATACAAAGCATAATGTCTACTTATAGCTACACCACAAACACACACTAAAAACACGCACATTTAATATGACACTCTCGAGGTCGCCACAGAATTCGTGAGCTCGCGAGTGACAAGGCATTGCAGGGCACGAAAGGGGACTCGCGAGGTCGCCGGGGGCTTCGCGGGCGCGCGGGGCGCGCATGGGAGCACTCTCGAGCTCGCGGGGCTCTCTGTTTATTGTGTTTTTGTCGTTATTTTGGTGTGTTTTGTGTGTTT